GGCGGACCTACCGGGAGCATTTCGTGGAGGAGACAGGTGCGGGCGTCTGGAGAGGAACTCGGGGTGGGGGTGGGCGTCCCCCCCCCCGCACTAAGTGGGTACTAAGCGGGCCTTGCCGGCGCCCCCGTGTACACTGGTTGGGGGAGGCGGGGTGTCTGCACCCCTATGTGCCCTGTTGGCCGTTTAATCACACCAGTGTTTTTCACATCTTTTGCTCCCTCCCCGTACTTGGAAAATGGCTTCACCTCACTATTGGAGTTCCAGCTCCTAAAATATATATTCCCAAAATCCTTTCCTGATCACCCTTCCCGTTCTGGTTTAGGATACTCCTCTGTGCTCCTAAAATACTCTGTATGTAGCCCTGGCCGACCTGACTTTCTTTTCGCAGCCTCCCCCCAGATTGTAAGCGCCCTGAGAACAGGGGTCCAGCCCGTCTTGCCCACCATTGGCTCCTTGCACCCCGCACAGTGCCTGGCACATAGGTGTGCAGTATTTTGCTAAACAGAATTAAACTCCTGGACAAGGTGACTCAGGAAACCAATCTTTAAGGAACTTACACTTAGTATGTCATTTGTGAAAGCATTTATAGAAGCAGTTTTTGTGGTGGTTAAGGGCACAAGCTTGGAATCTTAAATAGCCTGATTTAAACTCCAGCTGAACCTCTCAAGGATGATGTCTCTGACTTTCAGTTTCCTCAACCATAAAATAAAATGATAGTGTCTTTGTCACAAAATTGCTGTGAGGATTAAAGGATACAGTTCATTGAAATTCTTAGACTAATGGCATTCCTGATGCATGTTAGTTACTAGTGTTATTGTCTTATGTAAACTGACAAAGGTGTTGGGCTGAATGTTCTCTAGGGCCTTTAGCTGCTCAAAGTGTGTTCTAGGACCAGAAGCATCAGCATTGCCTAGGAGCTTGTTAGAAATGCAGTGTCTTAGGCATGTGCCTGTAGTCCCAGATACTCAGAGGCTGAGGTGGGAGGATCACTTGAACACAGGCCAGCCTGGGCAACATAGCCAGACTCTGTATCTAAACAAAAATGTTTAAAGAAAAAGAAATGCAGAGTCTCAGGCTCCACCCTGACCTGCTGAATCAGAATCTGAATTTCCACAATTTTCCAGGTGATTTGTGTGAATTGGCTGCCCAGTAAAGGGTGGGAAGCACGTCTCCAAGTTCTGCTAGCTTTAGCTGTTTTTATTCCACCCAGGACAGGTGTGTGTCCACGGGCAGCTGGGAATAGCCTTGAAGTTGATCTCAACTGTAATTGGTATGATCATCTGCCTCAGTTTACTGTGACCTAGATAAGATATTGTGATCTGGTTTAGGGATGAGAAAAAGGCAACCTCAAGTTGTATCTGATTTACTTAGCAACTAGACCCTGTTTAGGAATGAGAAGCAGACTGGACGGTATGTTTTAGTTTGAGGAAAGCTTGAACAGCAGAGCTTAGAGTGCAGAATTAGAAGACTGTGCAAGACAGGCAGCTTAACCAAGAAGACTTGACCCTGTTTTTTCCAAAACATCTCACCTCCCAGATCCCAAAGACAAGATTGATATTGGGCTGCCTCCACCCAAGGTCTCCCGGACCCAACAGCTGCTGGAACGGAAAAGGGTTATCCGGGAGCTTCGGGCCAATGCGGAAGAGGAGCGGGCTGCCCGTCTCCGCACAGGTGAGTCTCGGGGGGCGGCACTGGGTGTGTCCCTGCCCTCACCCTGTAACCCAACTGGCATCATTCCTTCCCAGCCAGCATCCCACTGGAGGCTGTGCGGGCGGAGTGGGAGAGAACCTGCGGCCCCTACCACCAGCAGCGTCTGGCTGAGTACTATGGCCTCTACAGAGACCTGTTTCATGGTGCCACCTTTGTGCCCCGTGTCCCCCTTCACGTGGCGTTTGCTGTGAGTGAGGAGGACCTGATGCCTGTGTACTATGGCAATGAGGTGACTCCGACTGAGGTAACTGCTTACTTGTGTCCCTGCTCCCTGCCCTGTTCACACAGACACATCTCATTGCAGTGTCACAGACAGCTCCTGGGTTAGGGTTTATTGTTTTCTCTTGGACTTCTTGGGAAACAATTATAGGACAGTTACAAAAGAAATAATACAAAATGAAGGAAAAAGAAGTCTCATCTTTGCATATTCCTGTAACTGGCCCATTGTCTTTTGGAGTGTCCTCCCAGCCCCTGTCCCTTGGCACCTGGCCCTTTTTGCGGTTCAGATCCCTGGGCAAGCAACTCTGCAGGCTTCCTTCTGTGAGCATCTCTTTGTCCACCTGCCTCTGCGAGGGACTGTCAGTGGCATTTAGGTCAGAGTGCACTCCCCCTTCTCCAAGGCACCGTCAAGCTCTAGCCCTCCAGAAAGACATTGTTTGCAACAGTTTGTCTGTCATTGGTGCGATGACAGCTCTCCTGTTCTGTCCCTGCCAGGCTGCCCAGGCCCCAGAGGTGACCTATGAAGCAGAAGAGGGTTCCATGTGGACATTGCTGCTCACTAACTTGGGTAGGCATCTTGGGTCTCTAGGACTCCTGCGTCCCTGACCTCCCTTGAGCCAAGGCCCTGGGAGCTGGGGGAGGGTCCGGGTAGAGAGCTCAGGCCTTGGCTCCTTGCGAGGGTGGGGGTGGCAGGCCCGTGGTCAGTAGCATATGTTTCTGTGCAGATGGACACCTGCTGGAGCCAGATGCCGAGTATATCCACTGGTTGGTGTGAGTACTTGGCGCTGGGGCTGGGGCTGGGTCAGAGGCCGAGAGGAGGCCCTGGAAGCCTGGAATGAGCTACACCTGAGTTTCAGTCTCAGCTCTACTATAGAATAACTGAGATTTTGAATTAACCTCCCTGCCCAGGAGGTGACCCTTCCTGATGTAGTTGGGGCCCTGGGATCCAGGTGTGCACTTGAAGACAGGTTCAAAAGAAAAGGTAGGCAGTAGGCCTTGGCCAGTGCCCATAAGCTTCTTCATTTCTCTGAACTCATTTCCTCACCTGTAAAACTGAGGTGATGCTGCCACATGCCTTACCCACCCTGAAGCATGCTGGGACCATGAAATAGGAAAAGGAACATGAGAGGCCTCTGGCAGCTATGACATCTCTCCGCATGCTCATTGAACTGGGTGTTCCTTCCCTGGGCAGTGGCCATGGTGCCCAGCCCAGGCTCCCTTTTGTTTTCTCAGTGGCTTTTGGCTCTGAGCACCAGGCCGGGGGCAGAGTCAGACAGGTAACCCCAGCTTTGGACTTCTGGGTAATTGGGGCCAGTGACTGGGAGACTGGTTTCTGTCATTTTTATTCATCTGTATTTACCAATCTGTGCAGCAGGACACTCTGGGGAGTTGTGCCTGGGGCACCTACAGTGGCCACCCCAGTGCCAGGCAGGGCACACACTCCCTGACAAGACCCCAGAGCCTTCAGGAAACACAGAGAAGCAGCCAAAGTGGCGTGGCTTTCCCGCCCAAGTGACACGGCAGAGCCTCCGGCTCCCCAGGGTCTAGTAAATGGGATGCTCAGCCTTGTCGTGGTGCTGATGGCCTCTGGAACCCCGCCCTCCCCATTTGAGCCCTGCCTGCTCCTTTTAGGCTTGCAACATGTCCCCAGAGCTTGGCCTTTTTTTTTTTTTTTTTTTTTTTTTTGAGACAGAGTCTCACTCTGTTGCCTGGGCTAGAGTAGAGTGCCGTGGCATCAGCCTAACTCACAGCAACCTCAAACTCCTGGGCTCGAGCGATCCTCCTGCCTCAGCCTCCCGAGTAACTGGGACTATAGGCACATGCCACTGCACCCAGCTAATTTTTTTTTTTTGACCTTCTTTATCACAGGACAGGAATCATTTAGGGTCTGTCTTCCCAGGGAATTACATCAACCCCCGGGGTTCATGGTGAGGGTGTCCTGGTGCCTCCCTGCAGTGGCAGTTAACAGATGCTTTTCCTCCTCCCAGAACCAACATCCCAGGCAATAGGGTGGCTGAAGGACAGGAGACCTGTTCCTACCTCCCCCCCTTCCCTGCCCGAGGCTCTGGCTTCCACCGCTTCACCTTCTTGCTCTTCAAGCAGGACAAGCCAATCGATTTCTCCGAGGACACCCGCCCCTCGCCCTGGTAATCCATTCCCACACACCTACCCCAGGCCTCAACCACTCCCCCAGAATGGTTGCTTGTGCTCACTTCTCCCTCCTGACGTAGGCCTTGATATTGGCAGAAGAGCAGGATGCTAGCAACCCTGAGGGGCTTCTCAGGATTGCCTGGGCTGGGGGGACTTCAGTGCCCCTTCCCCTACTCTTGGACATTCTCCATCTTCTCTTAGCTACCAGCTGGCCCAGCGGACCTTCCACACTTTTGATTTCTACAAGAAACACCAGGAAGCCATGACTCCAGCTGGCCTGGCCTTCTTCCAGTGCCGCTGGGATGACTCAGTCACACACATCTTCCACCATCTTCTGGGTAAGGGCAGAGTGGGGCTGGGGGATTGGGGTGGGCCTGAGCTCACAGACCTCTCCTGCCTTGCCAGGAAGAAGCTCCCTTAAGGCCACTGCAGGCCTTAGGATGGGCAGGCCCTGGCCTGACTCAGTCTACCCCTGTATCCCTCGCTCTTCTTGCAGACATGCGGGAGCCTGTGTTTGAGTTTGTGCGGCCACCCCCTTACCACCCCAAGCAGAAGCGCTTCCCCCACCGGCAGCCCCTGCGCTACCTGGACCGGTACAGGGACAGTCATGAACCCACTTACGGCATCTATTGAGGGGCCAGGGTGCCCCCACCTCAGAGGGTGGGCTGGGCCGGCAGGAACAGTGACGACGCAGCTCCTGGGGGCCAAGCTACAGGGTTTTGGGCCCTGCCTGAGGCGGCCCTTCCCGTCAGGCCCAGGGCTTGGAGTAAAAGGGACTCTTTGGGTCTGGGTAGCAGGTGTGAATAAAGATGATTTCTGCAGTTGGTCTGGGTCTGTGTTCCAGCAGCAGCTAGAGTGCCCTTTCGTGGCTGGAAAGAGGGCTGCCTCTGCCTTCTGAGAGTGTCAGGGGCCCTGTGACCCACTGGCTGGCAAGGAGTGGGCAGAAGGAAAAGCAGGCAGTATAGCAAAATCAGCATGGTCAGAGAAGGGAGACACTCCAGTCTGGCAAGTACCCGAAACCCAGCTCCCAGAGGAAATGCAGGGGAGCAGCTGGGGTCAGGAGGGAGCATTTATTGAGTACTAGCTGTGTACCCCAGGCAGCCCTGACCATTAGCTCCTCTGCCCAGCACTGCATGATGGCAGGTTCCTGCTCCACCCCATGCTTGGGATGAGCCTTGTCACGTGGGGCAGCAGTGAGTCTCAGAGACCTCTGGGGCCAGAGGTCCCTGGGCCCTCGCTGAGTGGTCAGGTATTTTCTCTCCCCTCCCTAAAGGAGAAGGCTGCCTACTAGAGGTCAGGGAGCCTGTGTGCCTTTTGCAGAAAGATAAGCTTCACATGTAGGACATGATGCTGGATTGCAGTGAGCATGTTCTGCCTCAAAATCAGTCCAGCTTGGTGAGAAGAAAAGGAATTAACTATCCTCAGATCCACCCTGACAGGACACACACTGCCCAGGGAGGCAGTGTGTAAGCAGTCAGGACCCCCCTCTGCTTTGCTCAGCTGCAGGGGAAATGCTGAAGTTGCCTCCTAAATATTGAGGTTCCAGATCAGGTTGGACCTCCAGGCAAGGAACTCCCCAGCAGAGGGCTGGCAAGGAGCGGGGATACTCATTGCATCTGAAACTTGGCCTGAGTATAAAAGGGGCATTGAAAAAAACACTGTTAATTGGTCTGTCTCTTGGCAACCAGACATTTCCATCACACTGTTAGCTTAAAAAGAACCAGAATTAGGTAGCCCAGAGAAGGGAGTCCCAATCTGGCAAGTCCCTGAAACCCAGCTCCAGGAAAAAGTGCAGCAGAGCACCTCGGGTCAGGAGGGAGCATTTATTGAACGCCAGCTGTGTGCCCTGCCACACGCACTGTTTGATTTAATGGCCACAGGAGGGGAGTGTCTAGGCTGTCCGCCTGGCTTAGAGCTGAGGAGCCCAGAAGAGGTGGGGTTGTGTGATGGCCCCCGCCAAGAGGAGTCTGAGGCCCCGCGGCAGGGGGCAGGGTACCCAGAGCCTCCTGCCTCCAGAGGCTGACCCGGATCCCCAGCACAGCAGCTAGGTCGAAGGTCTAGGGAGGCGGGATGGAGGTGCCAGGGCGGACCGAGAGCCACACCCAGTTCTCAGCCGGGCTGAGGCTGACGGGGGTGGCGCGGTGGCTGGTCAGGGCGCCAGAGAAGGGCCCACGGGAGCGCCGTGCCCGGCGCCCGCCCCGCTGGCGGTTCTTCCTGGGCGGGATCCTCGCTCCTCCCCGCGGCGGCCGCGCTGGCCTGCCCTCCCCGCCGCCTCCGCCATGTCCACGCCGCTGCTGGAGGACAAGCTGACCTGCGCCATCTGCCTGGGGCTCTACCAGGACCCGGCCACGCTGCCCTGCGGCCACAACTTCTGCGTGGCCTGCATCCAGGACTGGTGGGGCCGCTGCGGGAAGGCGTGCCCCGAGTGCCGCCAGCCCTTCCCGGACGACGCCGAGCTGCGCCGCAACGTGGCCCTCAGCGGCGTGCTGGAGGTGGTGCGCGCCCGGCCCGCCGTGGACCCCCGCCCCTGCGCCGGCCCGGACCCCGGCGCGCGCTGCCCCCGCCACGGGCTGCCGCTCGAGCTCTTCTGCCGGACCGAGGGCCGCTGCGTGTGCAGCGCCTGCACCGTGCACGAGTGTCGCCTCCACGAGCGGGCGCTGCTGGACGCCGAGCGCCTTGAGCGCGAGGTGACACGGCGGCGGGGTGGAACGGGCGGAGGGGGGCGGGCCTCCGCAGCCTTGCCGGTGCCAGGGCGACTCACCTGCGGGACCCAGGACTGTTCTCAGGGCCCTGCTCTCTCCGGTCGCAGCGGGTGGGGAGTGTCAGCTGGAGACGGCTTCCAGATGTTTTTCTTCCCAGGACCTGGGAGTTAGTGACAATAACTCAGGTGTCTGTGTATCACACTAGAGTAACCAGCCCCCCGGCGCCAGGCGCGGGTCTCGAGATGTTCAGCGAGTGTCCTGGATGAAGGCATAAGCCAGGGATATTAGGCAGTGAGCTCCCGGCTCTAGTGCAGTCCCCAGAGAACTGTCCGTGCATGGCAGAGGCTCCCTGAACACGCTTTCACGGGATGGATACGTGTGAGGAGCACTACAGTGTGCACAGTGTGGGCAGGGGCTGCACGTTGGTAGGTAAATCACACGCACTCCCTGCGCAAGAGACTTAGCATCTAAACAGGTCAGTGTCCCAGTAACAGGTGAATATATTATTACCCCGTGCAGTAAAGAAAGCACAGGATGCCACTGCTTAGGAGAGGGGGGGGGGGGGAAGAAGGGGAGGTGGCCTTTACTCTGACACGTGAGGACTAAGAAAATGCCAGCCAGGAGGAGAGGGATCTGGGGAGGCAATCGGGGCCACGCTCTGGGCTGGGAGACAACTGGGCACGCTGGGTCCTGGAGGCAGATTCGGGAGGTCAGCAGGGCCATGGTGAGGGTCGGCTCTTACTCGAGGGCATGGGGAGCCATCACAGGCTTGGAAGCAGGACAGCAGCATGGCTGGATTTAGGCTTTATGGAGAGTGATCACTGCTGGGATATGGAGGGGGCTGGAGGTGAGACTGGAGTCCAGGGCGGGAACGTGGGGGAGACAAGGTATTAGTGGGGGGCGGAAAACAGGGAGTGGGAGTCCGTGCCTTGTGGAGGCGGGAAACATGCTGAAGTGGACTTGGGGAGGTGGCAGAGAGGACAGCAAGGAAAACACCTGGGTTTCTGTCTTTTTTTGAGACAGTCTAACTCTGTTGCCCAGGCTAGAGTGCAGAGGCATCATCATAGCTCACTGCAACCTCAAACTCCTGGGTTCAAGTGATCCTCCTGCCTCAGCCTCCCAGAGTGCTAGGATTACAGGTGTGAGCCACCACACCTGGCCCAGGTTTCTGTCTCAAGCGAGTGAGTGGCCAGGCGTGCTGTGTGCTAAGTGTGGGTGGGGAGCAGAGTTGGCTTTAGGACATGTAGGGGCTGGAGTCGCCAGTGGAACGAACCCGGGGAGGCATCTGTCAAGAGCTCAGGAGCTCTCAGCTGGGAGTGGAGAGTTGAAAGTCTTTAGCACTGGCAGGTAGAGAAGGTCCCAGAGGGAGGGGTCCCATGCCGAGCAGGCCCAGGGCTGCAGTCAAACCAAGCAGGAGCTCCAAGGGAGACAGGAGGAAAATGCAGCGCACGGCATGGCGCCAGGGGACAGAGGGGTGCAGAAGGAGGACGACGTCGTGGTGTCCGTGCTGATGAGAGGTTCAGTACGAGGACAAAAGTGACCATTGGAATCCGCACCGTGGAGGTGGCCGGCACCCTTGACAAGAGCCATTTCATTAGCGGAGACAGGAGGCTGAATTCACTTGGGTATGGGACGAGGAGGGTTGGGGCCAGGGGTGGGATGATGGCAAAATGATGCACAGGGACACTGAATGGGATAGGAAGTGGGGCCAGAGGCCTGATGGGCAGGAAGGGATGGGGAGTGCACGTTTGGGGTCTGCTGAGGCTGGGGACGGGACAGAGGAGGCTGGAACAGGTGAGACGGGAGGGAGGCGGTGGTCAGAGAGCCGGTGCTTGGAATAGAGATTTCAGAGCTGGTGACAGGCCAGGGTGGGGTCACAGGGATGGCTGAGATGGGGTGAAGAAAAGGGCCCCGGGGTGTTGGAGGATGTTCCCTGTGGCTGCTGAGGCTGAGCGAGGTCTGAAAGTTTTCACGGGAGGCCAGTGCGTGACAGCCAAGCAGAGGAAGGGCGTGGCCTCGGGGCAGCAGCACATGCTCCCAAGGAGCTGGGGTTTGGCTAGCGAGAGGGGAACAGATGTGGGGCTGCATAGGGACAGGTGCATGTCCTTGAAGGAGGGTCCGGTGCCCCAGCAGAGTCTGCCCTCCCGCCACCTACGTTTTGTCATGGGTTGAATGCTGGAGGCAGGGGCCTAGATCAGACACAAGCCACGGGCTTAGAAAGATCTGATGATTCTGAGCACATTGTCAGCTTCTCCGAGCCTGTTCACTCATCCATGACATGGGGATAAAAATGGTCCCCACCTCAGCGTGTAGCTGGGAGGAGCAGAAGCGAGGCAGTGAGGCTCCTCACCAGGTAAGGGAGCAAGTCCTAGCGGTAGGCAGGAACTGGGGGCTCCTGGCATCAGCATGGTTTGTCCTGTTCCTGTGAGAGCATTTTGATCCTTGAGGGAATGTGGAAGGGGCAACCAAATGGGGCCCCTCCTCCCCCTCGTGCCCAAAGCCAGGGCCAAGGACTGGCTTCACACATGCGCTGAACTGCCCACTTCTCAGGCAGCACCGGTGCTTTGGGTCATCGCCCCTCGCCCGCAAGTCCTCCTGAGCCCACGTTACGGCTCTCATTTATTGACTAGGAGGAGGTTGTGTCCCAGAGAGGGTAGGAGCTTTGCCCCAGCTTGCTCAGCCTGCAAGAGGCAGGAGTGGGACCACAAGTTGTGTCCCCAGCCCGGGACTTCTCTGCCCACACTCCGCCAGCTCCAGGTGGGGAAGGGGCTTTGTCGAGGCCTCCCCAGGCTCTGGGTGGCTTGAGGAGGGGCTGCCCAGCGTCTGCAGGGCTTTCTTGGTTGTTGAAGGGGGGGCTTCACAGCCAATCCTGGCCCTCTCTCGTCGCTCGTCCCATGGGCGGGCACCACAGGCCCAGCTGAGAGCCAGGCTGGAAGTGACCCACCGGCAGGCCACCCAGGCCGAGACCCAGCTGCAGGAGCTGCAGCAGCGAAGCAGCCAGATCCAGGTACAGGGCCTGTCCGTGTTCCACCCGCCATGTCCTCACACCGCGCTGCGGGCAGCTGCTGGCTGCTCCTGGGCACTGGGCAGCGGGCGGGAGCTGCTTTGAACATGCTTCCGGGCAGCAGGGGGCGAGGGCCTGAGCAGGAAGCTGGGCGCCCGGGGAGGGGGAAGCCTGCTCCCCAGGACCCTGGCTCCCACATCCCGTGCCCTCAGCCCATTGGGCAGCCCTGGCCTGCCTTGGCATGGCACAGGGCCCTGGCCACCCTGAAGCCCCTCCTGTGCCCACCCAGAGCTTGGCCTGCACCCTGGCCTCCTCGGTCTCTGGCAAGTTCAGCAGCCTGCAGCAGGCCCTGGAGATGCGGCGGGCCGTGGTGCTGAGGGACATCGAGGTGGCCAAGACACAGGTGCTGGCACAGGCCCGGGATGAGGAGCAGCGGCTGCAAGGCCACTTGGAGGCCCTGACTAGCCATGGCCACAGGATTCAGGAGCTCCTGGAACAGGTGGATGACACGACCTTCCTGCAGGTACGAGGCCTCAGGTGGTAGGCTGGGGGGGACTTGTCTCCCTGCCTGTCACACTGGGTTTACTGCAGCTGTTCTGGGCTCAGGAATCACAGCTCCTTGAGCCCCCAGGGCCTCTTGGGCCACTGACCCCTCTGCAGTGGGACGAAGATCAACAGCTGGGTGACCTGAAGGAGTTGCTAAGCCAGCTGTGTGGCCTCCTCCTGGAAGAGAGGGGCCGCCCTGGGGCACCAGAAAAGGCTGCAGACTTGGGCCCCTTGGGTAAGGCTGAACCCAGACCCCTCCCTGCCTCTCCTGGCCCAGCTGTCCCTCCCTGCAGGGTGGGGGTGGGATAAGGCTCCCCAAGGCCTCTCCATCCACTCTCCTAACCCTGCTTTGTCCTCTAGAGGCCCCAGGGCCCCTGGCACCGGTCCCGAGTGCAGTATGTCCACTGAGGAGGAAACTCTGGCAGAGTAAGGAGGCCTAGTGCATGTACATGTGTGTACCGTGAACACGTGCATGTGCGTGCATGTTTGTATATGTGTATGCCTATGCACATGTATGTGCATGTGTGAGCACATATGCATGTATGTGCATGTATCTGTGTGTGCATGTTTGTCTGCACATGTGAGTATGGGGGACACATGCTATGACTGTCTTGTCATAGATATCTGGGCCTGGCCCCACCCCTGCACACCTGTTGTAAGATGTACACCTTGTGCACATCCACTCTGAAGCAGACACAGCTGGCATAGTGTCTAAGGACAGGGCGTGGGCACACAGACCTGCGATGCCTCATGATTATTCCAGTTAATACCAAGCTAATGCCTCTCTGAGCCTCAGTTTTCTCATCTGTGAAATGGGGCCAATGAGGGTTCCAGCTCCCAGGTTGCAGCGAGGATTAAATGCTCGGCATGCAGCATGCCTGGCAGACAGTAGCAGTCGCTAAATTGAGCTGCAGTTGTGTTCTCTCCCTCTAGATAGGATGGCACCCTGGCCCATTTCTGTTTCTTTCCCCAACAGATTATCGCAATCTCACCTTTGACCCAGTCAGCGCCAACCGCCACTTCCACCTGTCCCGCCAGGACCAGCGGGTGAAGCACTGTCGCCAGCCCTGCGGCCCAGCCAGGCCAGGCAGCTTCGAGCTCTGGCAGGTGCAGTGTGCCCAGAGCTTCCGGGCCGGGCAGCACTACTGGGAGGTGCGCACCTCGGACCACTCGGTGACGCTGGGTGTCGCCTACCCGCAGCTGGCGCGGTGCAAGCAGGGGCCCCATACGGACAACATCGGCCGCGGGCCCTGCTCCTGGGGGCTCTGCATCCAGGAGGACAGCGTCCAGGCCTGGCACAACGGGGAGGCCCAGCGCCTCCCAGGGGTGTCGGGGCGGCTCCTGGGTGTGGATTTGGACCTGGCCTTGGGCTGCCTTACCTTCTACAGCCTGGAGCCCCAGGCCCAGCCCCTGCACACCTTCCACGCCCTCTTCACCCAGCCCCTCACCCCCGTCTTCTGGCTCCTCGAGGGTAGGACCCTCACCCTGTGCCATCAGCCCGGGGCCACGCTTCCTCCAGAGCCCCAGGAGGAGGCCTCAGCGCCCAGCTGAGGGAGGCACGGGCTGGAAGTGTCGCTCACGGGCAGGTGCCACCATGCCTGTGTGCCCAAGAGCTGTCCAGCCCCGGCCTGGGGACCCAAGGCCACAGCTCCAACAGCTGTTGGCCTCTCTGTTGACTGAGAGAGAGAGAGGCGGTGGGGATGCCCCCAAACTGGAGTTGAGCATAAACCCAGAGTTCACCTTCCCAGCCTCTTTGAGGGGACAGGGACTAGGAGAATGGGAAGCCCCACCCCAGTGCTCAGTTCCAGGTGTGGCCTGGGCCTTGGAAGCTGGAGCAGTGCACAGGGGACTTCTGGCTTATAGGATCGAGTATGCGACAATAAACACGTATCAGCCTGAGCTTGCCTCCCAGAGAGACGACATGGACCAAAGGAGCAGTCAGTGTGGGGGTGCAGCAGAAGGACCCCTAGAGACATGGGATGTGAAGTAGATGTCTATCTCCTCCCCGCCTTCCTCTCTTTACTTATAACCTTCTGGTATACTTTAGTTCTGGTTTGTCCTCTTTTATTTTAGGCATCCTTGTGGTCATATTCTATAAACAGTTTTGTTTTCTACATTTAAAAAAAAAATTTTTTTTTTTTTTTTTGAGACAGAATCTTGCTCTGTTGCCTGGGCTAGAGTGCTGTGGTGTCAGCCCAGCTCACAGCAACCACAGACTCCTGGGCTCAAGCGATCCTCCTGCCTCAGCCTCCTGAGTAGCTGGGACTACAGGCATGCGCCACCATGCCTGGCTAAGGTTTTGTTATTTTTAGTTGGCTGGCTAATTTTTTTCTATTTTTAGTAGAGACAGGTCTCACTCTTGCTCAGACTGGTCTTGAACTCCTGAACTGAAGCCATCTTCCTGTCTTGGCCTCCCAGAGTGCTAGGATCACAAGCATGAGCCACTGCACCCGGCTTGAAAATTATTTGTATTTAAATAATTTGTGTTTTTTTGTTTTGTTTTGTTTTACAACAGGTCTTACAGTGTTGCCCAGGCTGATTCGAGCTCTGGCTTAGGTGACCTTACTACCTCAGCCTCACAAGTAGCTGGATTACAGTCTTTCTGTGTTCTTACTTAACATAGGCATTTTTTTCACTTTATTTAAAATTTATCTGAATGATTATATTCAAAACAGTTGTCCTAATGACTATAAATTTGTTTACCCATTATTAGACATTTAAATTGTTTTTTTGGGGCTGTAAAAATATTTGCTGATGAGTTGTTGAGCAGGAAGCTTTGGCCACAAGATGGTTATGTACTTAGGCTAAATTACCTAAAGCGAGTTACTGTCAGGAAACAACGAGCATGTGAAGATTTGTCTCATACCAGAGGCCGCAGTGAAGCAACCTTGACTCAGGCAGGCAGGGCTGTGCACCTTCAGCGTAGCGTGGCGGAACCCAGCCCCAGCACCCCACCCTGGTCTGGGGCTTAGACGCAGAGGGGTGTGGGTAGCTGCGCAGTGCTAGCTCCTTTTGTCCGTTTGTTTTCTGCTATTCCAGAACATGCTTCCCAAAAAAATCCTGCACACATTTTTACTCACATTGCTGGGCAAGTATGCTTTTCTTTTTTTTTCTCTCGACAAGGCCTCACTCTGTCACCCAGGCTGGAGTGCAGTGACATCATCATAGCTCACTGCAGCCTCAAACTCCTGGCCTCAAGCAATCCTCTTGCATCAGCCTCCCTCGTAGCTGGGACTACAGGTGTTTGCCATCACACTCAGCTAACTTTTTTATTTGTTGTAGAGAGGGGTCCCCACCTTGGCCTCCCAAAGTGCTGGATTGCAGGTGTGAGCCACCATGCCGGCCCTTTACATATTTTCTGTGGCTGTGTTCTATATCGTAAATATTAACATCTATTTACATGTGACAAGATGCACTGCTATATATATATAATATATCACACTCCTATATGTATACTACCGAGAGATGAGAGGAGGAAGAGAGAAAGAGAGACAGGGTCTCACTTTGTTGCCCAGATTAGAGTGAGTGCCGTGGCGTCACCCTAGCTCACAGCAACCTCAAACTCCTGGGCTCAAGCAATCCTCCTGCCTCAGCCTCCCCCAAGTGGCTGGGACTACAGGCGTGTGCCACTATGCCCGGCTAATTTTTTCCATATATGTTAGTTGGCCAATTAATTTCTTTCTATTTATAGTAGAGACTGGGTCTCGCTCTTGCTCAGGCTGGTTTTGAACTTCTGACCTCAAGCAATCCACCTGCCTCAGCCTCCCAGAGTGCTAGCATTACAGGCGTGAGCCACCGCACCCAGCCGCTACTGCTATTTTTATAGAGTATAATATGGAGCAGTACTTCTAAGCTAGGAGGTGTAGGGACAAGCCCTTACGAATCTGCCAGACATCTCTCCAAACTGAATTTGCTTGGCCCACCTGATTCTGGTAGAACTCTCCATCTCTCTGGAATGTGCACCTGTGTGACGGGGCCAGCAGCACAGACACTGTGGTGGGACATTTGAAGAGCGGACACGTTTGATTAGTGGCTGCTTCCAGCATGTCTGCTCTACCCACCAGACTCCCCTTATAGTTTCTGGGCTCCTGTGCTGCAGAATTGGGAGGATGGGCACCCCAAGACAACAAGAGTGGGAGAGGGCAGGAGAGATGTGTAGGGGACTGACATATTTTCCTAGTTTAAGAATTAAAGTTAGTGAGTAATGTACATGTCCTGCCCAGAGTGTTTGAAAGTAATCTGTTCCGGACAAGGTCCTTGTGATAAACAAGGTTGTTGCCTAGAGGCATAACAAAGGACCTGAGCTGCAAGTAGCAAGAGCGGCCCTGCCCCACAGCATTGGGGGTCTGAAGGCCACATGATAAACACCCCATAAGATGGCTGGTTAGTCAGTGCCAGGTAAGACCCCTCAAGGGAGGGGCGACCTAAGCCAAGCACAGCCACTGGGGTTCAGCCGAAGATCTTAGGGGGTCACCCTAAGAGAAGCTGGGGATGAGAAATGCCCCCTGTGGCTCACCTTGCCCATCCTTGCTAATCACGGTCCTTTATCTATGCCTAGTGCCTAGAGCAACCACCTTGAAATTCTGAGTCAGGGGACATCTGCTTCCCTAAGGCTACACATTCCGGAATTTATGGCTGCCACACCTGGGTGGTTACGTACAAGGAACTAACTTTAATCTTTTTGAGTATGAAAATAAAACTGACCTGGTGTATTATTACTCAAGCTAACCGTTTGTACATGCGTCTACGTTTTTCTTTGTGTTCTGCATTTGTGTTTTATGTTCTGTGTTCATTCATCCTCCATCCTGTAAAAACAGTCCACGACAGAGATGTCAAAAGACAGAGGCATACAGTCCAGTGGGGCTGCAGGCCGGAGAGGTGAGGGGTGACAACAGCCACAGGCTGCTCTTTCCAGGCAGGAAGGAAGCAGGACGGGGACTGGGAAATGTGAGTGACTTCACGTAATGTTGACCCAGAAGCTAGAAGACAATGAGCCAGTCCTTGAGATTCTGGGGGCAGGATTTCCATCCTAGAATTCCATGCCTGGCCAAACCAGGACACAGCAGACACGGCAGCATCCATGCTCAGGAAGCCCGACGAGGGCAGACTTCAAAAATGAAGAAGTCAATCAGTGAAAGGAAAAGGCAGGCCTGGGATCCAGGAAACAGGGAACTCAACACAAAAGAGAAGTGATAAAGCCTCTGCAGCCTCCAGAATCTGAGCCCGACGTCCACAGCAATGGTCAAGGCTTCTGCACGGTGACTTAGAGACGTGGAATAAACACTGAGTGGAACCGCTGAGAGCTGGGACTGGCCGCTTGTGGGCCGCGGGACTCTGCAGTGGGTGGGACGTGGGTCTGTTAGTTTTTGTTGTAAGCCTTGTTCAATTGTTTGGTTTTTAAATAACCTAAATATAGTAATGTGATATAAATGCAAACCAAAATTTTAAAAGTACATCAAAAGCATAAAGAAAAAGAAGTCCAAATGGAGACATGATTTGGATCCCCTTTCTTTTTTCTTTTTTTTTTTTTTTGAGATAGAGTCTCACTTTGTTGCCCAGGCTAGAGTGAGTGCCATGGCGACAGCCTAGCTCACAGCAACCTCAATCTCCTGGGCTCTAAAGCAATCCTCCTGCCTCAGCCTCCCGAGTAGCTGGGACTACAGGCATGCGTCACCATGTCCGGCTAATTTTTTGTATATATTTTTAGTTGGTTGATTAATTTCTTTCTATTTTTGGTAGAGATGGGGTCTCGCTCAGGCTGGTTTCAAACTCCTGACCTCGAGCAATCCTCCCGCCTCAGCCTCCCAGAGAGCTAGCATTACAGGTGTGAGCCACCGCGCCAGGCCTGGATCCCCTTTCAGTGTCTTTCAGACACAGAAATAAAGCTAGGAATGGCTTTTTATTTACTTTTATTGGCTGAATTATTTTTTGCTTGTTTTTGCTTAACTTTTTTTTTTAGGCAGTACTGCAGCCACAGGGTCATCTATTACGCTTACAGTTACTCAGGTTGCGCCTCTGGGGCTTAAATTCAGCCTCTCTGCATGATCAGTATGGGACACCCTGTCCCCATAAGTTCCAGATGCCCTTTATGATATAGCAGCTGTAACAACGGAGTGACAGTGGCGGGTGTGAACACGCTCCTGGAGAGCTCAAAGTGCCAGGAGCTGCCCTTGCCCTGTGACAGTCAATTCACTTCAAGACCAATTAATGCATTAGGCAAACAACTTATTTATTTGGAGGCAGGGTCTCGCTGTGTCGCCCAGGCTAGAGTGCAGTGGCATCATCATAGCTCACTGCAGCCTCTAATTCCTGGGCTCAAACGAGTATCCCACCTAAACCTCCTGAATAGCTGGGGCTACAGGCATGCACCACCACTCCCTGCCTGCAAATGACTTTAAAACCATGACAATGGAAATGGAATATCAAGATGCCAACACCCTGAGCAGTCACATCACACTTTCTTATTGGGAGAGCAGAGAGGACAGTGGGGATGTGGACCAGAGCGCTGGCTGGGACCCAACCCAAGAGGCACCCCCTCCGCTCCAGAACCAGGCGGGCTGTGGTCTCACCAGACACTGCCAAGCCACGGGGTAGGGTGGCACTAATGCCCGGCCTCCCGACCGCTCCTGGGTTTCGGCAGTCAAGGGACAGTCATGATCAAGTGCTCCTTGTGGAAACCAATGTATGGAACTCATTACTCGCCTTCCTGCCAAACGGGGCACACCCAGCCGTCTCCCTCTGCTACTCCTTCTGCCCGGAAGATCCCCACCCAGGCTCTGCCCGCCTGAGCCCAGCTCAAACGCCACTGCCACAATCCCCCAGCCTCTCCCAAGAATCCCTCAGGAGAGGCTACGCCTCTCTTTTGTCACTTATTCCCTACCTAGGGTAGGGGTTGCAATGCTCTGAATGTTTGCATCCCCCCCTAGAATTCTTATGTTGAAATCCTAATCCTTAAACTGATGCTATTAGGAGGTGGGGCCTTTGGGAGGTGAATAGGTGATGAGGGTGGAGCCCTCAGGGGTGCGATCCGTGCCCTTATAACAGGGGCCCCAGAGACCGCCCTGGTTCTCCTCCTGCCACGTGAAGACACAGCAAGATGTCAGCCTGCAGCCCAGGAGAGGCCTGCACCAGGACCCGACATGCTGGCACCCCTGGTCTCAGTCGCTGGC